TTCTTTTTTCGCTTGGAAGCTAGTAGAGAATGCATTCTAACTATTGACAAGCTAAGAAGAATGACATTAATTTTGGTTGATGCTTGCTACCTTTGCAAACAGGCAGAGCAGAACTGCAGACACCTTCTTTTACAGTGTCCTGTTGTTTATCAATTGTAGTGCATGGTTTACAGTCGCTTGGGGATTAGTTGGGTTTGTTCGGGTTCTATTAAAGAGGAGATTTGAGCGTGGGAACATCTTAGAGGCAGTTGTATCCTTGCTAATTTGATTCCTGTTACGCTTACGTAGACTGCGTGGAAGGTTAGGAATTGTCAAGCATTTGAGGGGATTGAGGACACAAAAGGTTTTGATGTACTGAAGAATAAATGGATTAGTCCCCTAAATTTCTTGCTTTTGGGTCATCCCCCTGTATTTTTTGAGACTTTTAGGTCTACTTTGGTATGGAGGACTAAGCTGTAAATAACTGTACATGTTTTGCACCTCTAGTGCTTTTTGCAATGCAAATTTTATACTTTTCACTTTCAAAAAAAAATTATTTATTGCACTTTGTAATGGCACCAGGAAATGTACTAAATATCCTCTTTATCGCATCTCACAATTTATGTTATTTAATAAGTTCTCATAGTCTCATAAAAACTTTCTTACAAGTTTGAATATTAAGTCCATTCTTAATAATGGATTTGAGGCATTATCTTAAGAAAAATGGAAAAATACTATGAATGTAGAAAAGTAGGCACTAGAGTATAACTAAACATCAGAAGTAATGGGCCTACCCAAAGAAAAAAAAACTTGTGGAATGCAAGTAGGTGTTTACAATCAAATATATGGCATATGGGACAACCGAGAGGTATGAAGCAAGATCGGTGGCAAAGGGCTTACACAACCTTATGTAATATACTAACAAAAAACATTTGCACCAGTAGAGATGATGAATACTGTTTGGATTTTGTTGTCCTTAACTATCCACTTTGGTTGGTAACTACAATAATTCAATGTGTATGTCTTCTTGCATGGAGATTGCAAAGAAGAAATCTACATGAAAATTGAACCAAGTTTTGCTGTAGAAGCTGTAACAAATAAAGCGTATAAATTGAAGAAGGCATTTTATAAACTCAAGTAACCATCAAGAGCATAGTTTGAGAGATTTGCAGGGGTGATAATAAGCCTGATATATAAATAGACTCAGGAAGGCCACACTTTATTTATCAAGCACTCAGAGACAGAGGGAGTTAAACTCTCCGAGTATATGTCCCTAATATCATTGCAACAGAAAATGATAAGAAAGAAAAATTGGTGCTAAAGCAAATGTTTGGCAAGAATGCAAAATTATAGAGTTAGGTATTTTAAAGTATTTCCTTTGAATTAAAGTTGCCTATGCAAAATCAGATATCTTCATTTCTCAGCAAAAATACATTTGTGACATGTTAAAAGATATTGGCAAGCTAGTAGGTAAACAAGCTAGTACTCCTATTGGCCTCAATCATAAATTTGGAGGGGCAGAAGAATATACAATCTATCAAGTGCTTCATTACCTAAATGGGTCATCTGGGAAAGGAATCTTATTCAGGAAGAGAGACAGGTTGCTTCTACAAGCATATACGAATGCAGGTTATGCAAGATCAGTGATAGACAAAAGATCTACTACAAGTTAAACGATATTGGCAAGCTAGCAAGTAAACAAGCAAGTACTCCTATTGACCTCAATCATAAATTAGGAGGTTTAGAAGAATATACAACCTACTGAATGCTCCATTACCTAAATGGGTCACCTGGGAAATGAATCTTATTCAGGAAGAGTGATAGTTTGCTTCTAAAAGCATATACGGATGCAGATTATGTACGATCAGTGATAGACAAAAGATCTATTACAAGATATTGTACGTTCCTTGGAAATAATCTAGTTACTTGGAGGAGTAAGAAACAAAATGTAATTGCTAAATCAAGTGCAAAATCAGAATTTTGAACAATTTCCTAAAGAGTATGTGAACTACTACTAATAAAAAGAATTTTAGAGGATCTACAAATCAAGTGGAAGAACCCTATGCACTTTATACTATGACAAGTCAACTATAAGCATTACACACAATTCGGTACAACATGATTGGAGCAAGCATATCAATATCAATAAACACGTTATCAAAGAGAAACTTGATAGTAGCCTAATATGTACTCTATACATGCCTAGTAGTTCACAACTATCATATGTGTTGCCTAAATGCTTGAGTAGTCTAGCTTTCTACACTATAATTGGCAAGCTAGGAATAGACAATCTATTCTCCAGCTTGAAGAGGAATATTTAATAAAGTGTCTCTTACGTAAATTAGATTAAAGGGTATAAAGATAAGATGCGCACTATGTAATTTATTTTTTATTTCATTTTCTATTCTAAAAAACTCATTTATATATATATATATATATATAGGATTATGATATTCAATGAAATACACATTCAATCATTCTTCACAAAAACAAATACACATGAAGCAGTGAACAAATTTTTAGGATTCGGATTCTTTTTTTGGGACTCAGCTTCATTCTCTTATATATTTCCTGTACAGCAATAAAGGGAATTTGCAATTACAACCTTATATTTAAATCAAATATTACAAGAAACAAGCTTTTCAAATTGATCCACAAAACAAAGCATAACTTCAGATAAAGTTTGATTTGAACCAACCAAGCTTGGAGGAAAGCAAAAGATCAATTTATTTAACCACATAAAAGCGAACAAACTAAAATCATAACAAAGACCTGGATATTTAAGGATTGTTTCAACTGTTCAATTTTTGTAAAGTTATCAATTACCAAGACTTGTTTCTGAATATTAAAATTAAAACCACCACCTTGTGAATAACTACGATCATTTCCTTTTCTTTCTAACCCAATCATTGAGCGTTGGAGGAATATATAAAAAGTATTAAATCAATACCATCAAAACCATCTAATTCGTTTCTTCATGCCAAATTCTTTTAACGTGCCTAAAAAGTCCAAAACAAATTACTCTAGAACTCACAGAATTGGTGCTGCTATCATCTTTAAGGATCTTCGTTAGCATCTTCACTGTAGATGAGCATTTCTGATCACCCGCAGCTAGGCAAAGAACAGCCACACATTGAGCTATTGAATGCAAAGCCTGTTTTGCAACACCACCTGATTGTGGAGATGGTTTCGCACAAGCAAGAAGAGACTCTAGTAAAACATCAAAACTTGTATTGGCAGAATACACTAGGGCAGCAAAGAAGTTTTGCAATGCCTGCAATTAGCAAACTGTACAGTTCAGAAACATGTAAACACCAAAAAATATAAATCAAGGTATATATTCCAATAGAAAAAATGTGTCATTAATACCAAAAGTGCTTGACCCTGTAGCAATGAGCTTTTGATTAATGTTAGTGCCTGAGGGAGAACTTTATTCCTAACAGCCAAGCCAACATTTGAGTTGGATCTTTTGTCAGCCATTAAGGTGCAGCAGAGTTCTAAGGCAAGAGCTGTCATGTGCAAGTCCGAATCACTAACAAACAGACAAGCAAGAGATTTATGTTTCAGAAAGTTACAATGGTTAAACATACTCAAATCAGACAAGAAACTATTATAAGTTGTCAGGGGCAGATCAAAACCTTATTAAAGTTGACAGTTCCACAATAATTACTTCATAAGCAGAAGAACCAATTTCATCACCATAAGCTTCAATAAGAGAATTTAGCGTTCCTAATGTCGCCTGCCTTAGTGCCCGATTAGCCTATTTAAAAAAACTGACTTCAGAATCCATATATTCATCAGTTTATAAAACTTTAAACTTGCGTCTTCTCAGTAATTCATTTTCTTCTGTTGATTGCTTCATACTTTTCTTTAGCATGACAAAAAAAAATGAATCACAGAGAAGTATGATTTCAGTTTTAACAGGGAGAAAATCTAATTAAATACCTTTCTCAGGAATGCAGTCAGCTCTGCAATTACATGCTCCAAAACACATGATAAATCTACCCGAAGTGGAGAAGCAGCAATGACAGCAAACGCCTGAGTTTTGGATAGTAGGATAAAAAAAATGCATATACACAAAAATGTATATATAAAAAATGGTATCAAACAAAAAGAATAAAATACACAAATATTTACCAACTCCAGACTCAAAAAAGGTCACTGCTACAAACAAAAAAGAAAAGAACTTAACCCCAACATGAAGAGATAAAGCTACCAGAGCAATTCGGACTAGACTATCCCAGCAATCTTAGCTGTAAGAATGAATTTGGGCACCGTGTAAAAGCATGTGCACTGCTGTGGTTAACACATTACAACTCCAATTGTTACATGAAAATGTTTTCTAATTTTCATTTCCTAAATTCATATATATGTTTATGTATAAAACATGTCTAGTTGTTACAAATGAAAAGAGTTTCTAGACTGTGTCTAGTACTACTTATCTTGGAGGATTAAACAGCACAAGAGTGTGCAGATCATATTTCCTCCATAAACTTAACAGAACCAAACAAGAAATAAATAAGAGGAAACAATTTAGTTCCTATATTTTGTCATATATATGTTTATGTATAAAACATGTCTAGTTGTTACAAATGAAAAGAGTTTCTAGACTGTGTCTAGTACTACTTATCTTGGAGGATTAAACAGCACAAGAGTGTGCAGATCATATTTCCTCCATAAACTTAACAGAACCAAACAAGAAATAAATAAGAGGAAACAATTTAGTTCCTATATTTTGAGGGGGCATAATTTGCTCCAACTTTTGTTAGAAAACATAAATTTTTAATGCACTAAAATACCCTCATAACTTTCTATTTATTCCTCAACAGGCAACAGGGATGGAAACTTTCTCGAACTCCTTGAGAAATGGTGTTTGGGTGCTGGATCCACCTAGAAACCTCAACAACTGTAAGTTGGATGAATATATAAATTTATTTCCAATGTTTGAACTGAACTGAGAGATCAAAAGCCTATGTGGAAGCTCAGTCCAAAAAGGTTTCTTGGGGTGAAATTTGCTATTTTCATTTAGCAAAGGCCAGGAGAATTGATATGGAATCACCATGGAATCTGATTTGGAAACTAAATGCTTCACCTAGAGTGGCCTTCTTTGCTCGGAAAGCAACAAGGAGATGTAACAGGTCTACCTATGCAACAAGAGAGATGCACAGTCGAGCAACAATCTTCTCCTCTAGTGTGCTTTCTCTTGTCAACTTTGATCTATGGTCTACAGTCTGTTGGGGCTTAATTGAATGGTTGGTTAGGTAAAAGAGGAGATTTGAGCATGGAGAGGCATCCACGGGGACAGGCGCTATAACAAGAAGTTAGGCATTTTCCTTTGGCTACCTTATGGGTTATTAGGACGGAATTATCTCAAAAAATGGGTTATTAGGATGGAAAGGAACAAAAAGGTTCTTGAGGATATAGAATTTTCTTTTAATAAGATTAAAGATATATGCTGCTATGGTGTCCTGTTGGTCACAGCTTATGGAGCATTATTTATCAGCTTTTAGGGATTAGTTGGGTGATTTCTGGGAATGTGAGGGGCGAAATCTGGGCTTGGGATGGGCTGATCGACAAATGTAATGTTGCCAATTTGATTCCTTTGTCTGTTTTTTGGGTTATTTGGAAAGAAAGAAATGTTAGGGTCTTTGATGGGAAAGAGTTAGGGTTGCATAAATTAAGAGATAAGTGGATTAACTATTTTGAGTCTAGTTTGCTTGGTCATGATATTGTAAGAGATGAAGATTTTGGGAATATCATTGACATGATAACTGCTTTGTAAATTGTTTACAGGGTGGTACCCCCTCTTTTTGGTATCTTATTAATATACACGTTACTTTTTATTTCGAAAAAAAAGATATATGCCTCGAAACCCTAGGTTTTCTGATAAAGAGTCATCCTCTCCGTACTTATTAAGATTTAGGAAACCTAATTGATATTTTGATAGAGTTGTAAAGCCTTGTATGCAGGTTGAACCTTTTCAGTGCTTATATATTTTTCACTAATTCTTTTTCATTAAAAAGAAATGATCCTAAGTATACTTGTATGATTGCTTGAGACTTGTATATATAGGTTCCTAATACTCAATAAAATACACAATTCATTCTTCCACAGGAAGTACATACACAAACAAATATCATAGTGGCAATCGTAAAACTATCAAATCAAAGGTAAGCAAATCTAGTTGGGTAACAAAAATAATCACACTTGTTCGAAGGCACTCCAGGTTACTTTACAATTTCAATGAACTATCAAGTCCAACCAACCAAAGTTATTTTCCAAATATCATGCGGATGAATAAAACAGACATCTATAGGAACAAATCAAATTATAGCCTATCCCCAAATTTGTCACATGACATCCACAGTTCTTTTTTCTTTTTTTCCAACTAAAGACCATATCATATATACCCATTTTACGAATGTTGTATCTCTGGATAACAAAGCTCACAGAACGCCAACAGCAAATTGATCCATGTTTTCATTTCATTAAATATACATGCAATCCAAAGTCTATAACACCATAAACACAGGAGACAATCCGATCAATCAGTAAACAACTTCATAAAAAAATATATACATTCACCAACCTTCACTGCTGTAAGCCTGGTTATCTCATTTCCCATGCGATCAACTAGTACAGGGAGACATGAAGGCAATTCTGCTCTGAGATTATCACCAAATGTTGAGATCACAAGACCCATACAGGAAATAGCACACTCTTTGACCTCCTGTGAAAGAGAGGGTTGGCAATAAAAGAAGCAAAATATAAAGTCCAGTTGTACTAAGAAACTAGGAGGATATTTGAGATAGCTTAAAGAAATGGTACTCAAACCAATAGGCTTTAAGTTACTTTAAACAGGTAAATTCTTATTTACACATTTAGTTAGAAATGTTAATTACAAAAAAAAAAAATCGGAAAAAAGGTTGCGACCGATAAAAAACTAATAAAATTATATATTTATCATAAATATCCTATGGTTCGCATAATTGTTTAGATAAAAGAAGAAATTTTATTGAGGAAGAGAGGAAAAAGAATACAGTATTTAAGGGTAAGATAATTATATCATATTGTTATTTTAAGAGCATATCAAGAAGGTAATGATGCAAATTACTTCTATAAAAAATAAAAACCTAACTAGTATCGAAAAGTGTTTATTTTCTACCTTTTTAAAATCAATTTTAAGAATCTGATAAGCTCTCTGCTTCTTATGTTAAAAGAGGGCAGACATTGAAGCAAAATACTTAAAGATCTCGTAAACAGCAAATAAAGATTACAAATACCTTCTGATGTAGTCAAGAATTCAACAAATCTTTGGACAACAGAAAGCAACGAAAGAAAAAATGTAGACGAACTGTCAGATATTGCACAAACCTGATCTTGGTCTTGGTTTGTCAAGCGGGACATGATGGAAGCATATATAGGATGAACATAGGGTTTAAAATCAAAACCAGAACCCTGCAATATAACAAATATCTAGTAACCATAGATTCACACGACATCAGAAAATGCAAGAATGCACAC